ACTTTGTGTGAGTAGAAATACTTTGATTGTATATATAAAATATATTTTGCATTGTATTAATTCACTTTTCCACATCCAAAATGTAATTGTAATATGTAAACAATGTTTGTAAATCCCAGGCCCTGAAGATGATATCAATAAAAATCGAAACGTTGGCACGATAAAGAAATTTTCTTTCTGAAACCTATATCACACCAGACCGCATCTCACGATTTCTAAATTTTAAAAAAAATGAACTTTTTTTGTTGTAACGTTTTTGCTAATAATTATTACAGACAGTAATAATTATTAACGTAATATTTTTTATTAATGTCAAATTTTTCAACACCGAGGATAAACAGGTCAGAATAAACGGAAACGTCGAAACAGAAAAATATATATTTTTTGGCTATCTTGTTCTTTTTTACGTGTGAAATTTCTAATGTATGCCGGTAGATGACTAATATATATTTTGGTCAACCTTATCAACTTGCCATCGCTGCTGTAGTGTGTCAAACGGCCTGGTGAAATTTGGCAAAACATTCAGCAAGTGTTACAAAAGCAACACTGTACTGCATTAAAACGAAGAGGAGCATCCTAGGGCAAGACTGGTATGGTCTTGGCTAGGATATCTGGCTTTCACCCAGAAGGCTCGGGTTTTTTATTTTATTTAATTATAACTATTATTTAATAACAATATCCAGAAACTGAAGCATTTTTTTGTAAGTTGATAGAGAGGATATATTTTAACATAATTCTTACTTTTGCTAATCTTCTTAAACATCTATGCCGTATCGACTTTAACATACTGTAGTTGACGAACCTGGAGTTTGGTTGATTCTGTACATCGTGGACGGCCATGATTGTATTGCATTACATTCAAACGAATAGCAGAATCCAGGAGTATATCCGGTATGGTCTAGTGGCTAGGATACCTGGCTTTAATCCAGAAGGCTCGGGTTCGATTCCCGGTACCGGAATGTTTTTTCTTATACTTTTATTGATATTCCCTATTATTTATAAATAAGAAGTCAAAAGGTTGGTTGACAGGAAACACGATAGTAAAATGTTTTGCAAAAATAGCCTGGTGACAATATGTTTCGGATATTTTGAAATAATACCACCTGGATTTTTTCCCACGTTTTTAATGGAACAGAGAATAACGACTGATCTATTTAAGGATTCTAGACGGCTAGTGTAGTTTGCCAGTGGTGGTTACGTTTTAATTTGAAGATGAAATGACAATATGCAGAATACCATACCGGGGCATATCCAGTATGGTTTAGTGGCTAGGATACCTGGCTTTAATCCAGAAGGCTCGGGTTCGATTCCCGGTACTAGAAACTTTTTTCTTATACTTTTATTGATATTCGCTATTATTTATTATTAAGAAGTACAAAAGGTTAGTTGACAAGAAACACCCTAGTAAAATATTTTGCAAAAATAGCCTGGTGGCAATATGCTTCGGATATTTTGAACTAATACCACCTTGAGTTTGAAAAAATGGTCGATTTAATGATTTAGACTTCTGGTATAGTCTTTGTGATGGTTATATTTGCAGTTGAAGATAAAATGACGATTTGCAGAAACGCGTTATGATAGATCGTGGCACCTATGCTGTACAAGGATATTACTTCTGCATAAATAAAATGAGGCCCACATAAAACTATGCTATCATAGGTGTGTCGTATCAGTTCTGATCCATTACCTCACAGCCGGCTCATTCTAGCAAAAGTCTTTGCCTTTGCTGAAACTCTTTTGGCCACTTGGAGTCATATTGACTTAGGATCTTTGTAAAACTACACAATTAGAGGGGGCCACCCCGCGCCGAAACAACACTCCGCCCTTGTGGTAATCCTTTTAGCCCGGAGGATGGTTTGGTTTTATATGCCTTATTTGATTTCCCTCTACTCGGGCATTAATTGAAAGGAAACCGGCTGGGGTGCCAGAACGGCTGATAGCGTGTGCCAGGACAGCCGCATTGCCGCAACTTTTACCCGGGTAGCGCCATGCAAAATTAACATGGCGTAGGATTATCATACTTAAACTTTTGAAATATGCCAATGCTTAAATTCTGATAACAAACTATAAAATAAATACAAACAAAACGAGTAAAAATATTGATGTTGTTAAGAGTTTTCGCCATTATTAGTATAAGATGTTGCATTGTAATTACAAAAATGAATATTTTTATGTCTAAAACAAGTAACGGTTTATTGCCCAAGAAATGAGTATACGATTTGTCTTTTTAATAGGGATTTTATTTTTAAAATTGTAATTCGTTCAGGAAACTCACAATCATATGTATTCAATTGGATTGTAATGAAAGTATGCAGTTAAGATTATATAATTATAATTATCCCATGAACGTTCTTCTTATGGAGTTGTCTATGATATTTCCTATAAAAATACTTTATATCAATATCAATTAATGTGAATCCTAGGCAATTTATTTGTCGCAAATGTTTGTCTACATGGTGCGATATGTTTCTTTTAGTTACACATTTATGGAATAAATCATGCCAGGATGTCTGAGGTGGTGTTTTTATTGGATTCATTCATGAATAATCCAGATTTCGGTTTGGTCTGGATGAAAAAACTAAGATAAATTGTTATCTGCATGCTTTTGACCTTAGGCCATTATCAGGGCAAGATATCTACAAAATGGCATAATTAATATTTTTCAATAGATGGTTGCAAATTTCTTTAAAGACACAGCCACAATATTGCCTAAGATTCAATAGTATCACAATCATTTGTAAATTTGAAATCTCAAAACCATATATCGAAAACTTAATTATGTCAATTTGCAGACATCTTTAAGATTGTTTCGCCATGGTGATGATGTTAAATTTATTTGGAGATCGTGAGGTGCGGTTTGGTGTGACGTAGAATTAACAAAACATTTACTTTATCATCCCAACATTTCGATCTTTTTTGAGATCATCTTTAGGGCCTGGGATTTATAAACATTGTTTAAATTTTACAAATACATGTACGATGTGAACAGAAAAAAACGAATTTATACAATGATAGAAAATTTTAGATTTAAAAAAAGAATAAATTTATACAATGCTAGAAAATTTTAGAATAAAAAAAATGAATTTATACATTGCTAGAATAAATGTAATTTAAGCATGAAAGGAAGGGGTTATTTACCCCGCCCCGAGGAATATCGAGTACTCTGGGGGAGTGAATGTGACCAGACTTCTATGTTTGTGGCGATATATATGTTATGTATTGTATGTTGTGTATCTATTCTTAAATTGACAACCTGAGGTACTAACAAGAGGCTAGCTTTTTAAAATAACGACGTAATATACAAGTAAAAGCAGAGAGTCAGTACCCAGATCGAGATGCTCAAATGGCTGCAGTTCAATACAAAATACGCGAGAAAGACAGGAAAGAGAAGGAATATATGCGGAGGGCCGGCGACGACCTCAGCTGTTTGTCGGCCCATAAACCTTCCACTTTATATATATATATATATATATATATATATATATACATTGCTAGAAAATTTTAGATTCAATCAAAGTATTTGTATTCACTCAAAGTGTTTGTTTTCCGTGTAAACGTGTCATTCTTGTGTTTCGTGTTGAGAGTGCCAGTGAGATATTGGTGTTTTATGTTTATGTATGTTGGATTTTGAAGGGGTGGGGAAGGAAGTCGGATTACATAAACGGGGATAATTAGAGAAAGGAAAGCAAAATTGTTGAAGAATTAGACTATGTAGAAATATTTGATATGTGCCGTTTGATGAATGTTGTATATGTTATATAATATGTTTTGTGTGATGTGATGATGATATATGTATGCTATCGATATTGAATTTGATTAACATATTGGCGTAGCTGCGACTGAGTTTACATGTGTCTGTTCTGTAATTGATGCTATATAAATATTGGAATTGTGTTGGTGTTCAAAATGGTGGCCAGTGCTGTAGGATTTTGTTTGCATTTTATGCATTCATAGATATGTTGCTTTACTCTCTTATCCAGATATTGGGATGTAATACCGATGCAAGTTGCCGGACAATTTAAAAAATTGATTTTATAACGTCAGATTTGTTTGTTACTGGTGTAGGATCTTTAATTTTGTAAAAAAGTGTGTGAATTCTTTTATATGTTTTGAAAACGATTTTAAAGTTGTCAGAAGAGATAAATCTATTTAATTTATGTGATAGGCTGTGAATGAATGGCATGGAAATGTATGTTGGTTTGACTGTATTGATAGATTTGATGTGGTATTATTAGTAATAGAGGATGGTGTTAGTAGTAGTTGTTGATTATTCTGTTGATTATGTGTTTATGGTAGTGATTGTTACGGAGGATCTGTTTGTATATCTTTATGTTCTTGTGGTGAAATGATTCATGGCTTAGGATAATAAATCTGTGAAGTAGTGGCCGTGTTTATTACTGTATGAAGAGGATGGTGTGATGTAAAGTTGAGGTAGCGATCTGTGTTTCTTGGCTTTTCATTCCAATCTGTGATTAATGTGCCATCATTGGCTAACGGTCACTAAACACCACACATTTAATTTATTTTTCCATTCAGACCACACCTAGATCTACATTATTCGCGAGTAAAAAAGTATTTAAACAGGATTCATTCAAGTTAGTAAGCAAGTTTTTATTTACAAAGATTTACACAAAATTTTATCCACATTACGTTAATTGTCACATTCAGGAAGAATACGGTAAAGAAGTATGATAACAGTGAAATAAAATTTAAAATAAATTCATTCAACGTATTCTGTTGGATTTTATGGTTTGATGATTTAGCTGAAACTTGCACTGTTGTGTTAAGTTTGGGTCATTGTGAGCGTGGGGTATCGATTTTGGGTTTGTGAGGGGCAAGGCTGACAAAACGATCTACGAGAAGGGTCACAATTCGCTTCCAATGGGTTGAGAAAATGATAGTCGACGGGGTTTTCCCACTGATAAGGACGAAGCCTTCGAAACCTACCGACACGTGTGTTTACAACGGTACAACATCGGCAATGGCTGACAGCGACTAACCTGGGCTCAGTTCGGCTTGGGATCCTCACAGCTGGCGCTCCTCGCTGGCTTACTTCCGGGCGAAACCACACTGGAAAAGCCGCGTCGGGAAATTAAGGCACTAATTACCGTATATATTCGGGGGAAATCGCGTGTTTTTATTTATTTACAACGGCCTGAGACAACGTAAACATCGCCTGTTCCCAGGGCTCGGGGAAATTCGGCCGCTCTCGTCTCGCCATGCGCTTTCCGCCACCCCTTGGAAAGCCGAGTTAGCACAGTTTCGCATGGGAAAATCGTGCTACTCTCAATTTTTTAATTTTTTATTCTATTTTATCGATTAAACCTCCTTAATTCAATATATCTAAATATAGAAAAATAATTATACATATAATAGATACTCTATCAAGAAATTAAAAACATTTTATACCAATATGCTAAAAATTTATTTGTTACAAAGAAATATTCTTTTCCCTGGTTAGATAAAGTCGATTCAAATTTATCTCGGTTTGGGCGATTTTTGTCAAAAAAAATTGAGAAAAATATATTTTTTAATTTTCCTAAAAATTTGTATTCAGAGATTTTTAGGGGTACAAAAACGAATATGAACTTAGTTGTCATACCAACTTTCTAAGCTTTCCAAACTTTTCTTATTTTTTATATTTTTAATGTTATTGTCTCTAAAAAGAACTATTTTAAAATTTAAAGAAGATCGGAAAAATAACATAAATAATAACATACATATGTCCTCCGTATGACATAAATAGACGTACCATCGAGAAATATATGCCAGTCTGGCAAAAAATGTAACGATCGAGTTGGTTTGTAAATATTATTAAGGTTTAAACATAGATTTTATTATTGTTGAATTATACAAATTTTAGAAAAACGTAATGAGGGGGAGGCGGAAAGGACTTCGAAATGCATCTACGTAAAAAATAAAAACGTTGGAAAAGCGTACGAAGTTCTTATACTGTAGATTCCCACCTAGACCCAACAAAAAAAGATGCTAGAAATATGAACTTTCTTTCTGTATTTTATGAATTGTAACGAAAGTTTGCTGTTAAGATTATATAATTATAATTATCACATCATTTTTCTGCTTATGGAGTCGTCTACGATATTTCTTATAAAAATACTTCATATCAATATAAATTAATGCGAATCTTATTCTATTTAATTGTTGTAAATTTTTGTCTACATTTTATATGATGATATGTTTCTTTTAGTTATATGTTTACCGAATAAATCTTGGCAGGATGTCTGAGGCGGTGTTTTTATTGGATTCATTCATGAATAATCCAGATCTCGGTATGGTCTAGAAAAAAAAACACAAAGATAAATTGTTAACTGCATGCTTTCGACCTATTCTTACGTCATGACCAGGGCAAAACAATCCTAAAGGGATCTATAAAATGGTATAATTAATATTTTTTTAATAACGTAAATATGTCATCCGTATGACAGAAATAAACCTATCGTCGAGAAAAAAACGCCAGTCTTATGTTGACACTCATTATTGATGACAGACATTTTAAAATATGTTTTTGATATAAAACTAGCATTCGCCTGGCTTCGCTTGAGTACTATGAAAATTTGAAGAATTAATTGCAAGCTTGTTATTTGTACATAATTGTACATAAACTTTATTTTTTGATTTGTTTCTGGAGAAACTGACGTGTAATTTTCCGTGTGAGAAATTTACGGTGGTCACATCAATCACCCGGGTGTTTTTGAAAAAAAAAAAAAAAACAGTTATAATGACATCGGGTTCGAATGGAGCGCATCTTAGGATTCGAACCCGAGACCTTTACAACGACTCCAGTGATGAGCGCCTAAACCGTTGCGGCTACAGAATATTAAGTTTTATCTTAACAACTATGTCTTACTAACACACCTCAAAAATGGACACTAAATGGACAGCATTCACACAAACTGTTCACAAATGAATAGAGATATTTGTAATTTACTCTTATTCTATTCATTTTAATTAAATTAACCGTTTATTTCTTGTTTAACCGTAAATTTCTAGTTAGTTGGATAATAAAAACCAGCGAGGATAGGCAGAATAAGATGATAGGTAACTATAAAACAATATATAAATTAGTTCTGAATATTTATCTTCATTTAAGTCCAAACTACGACAAAGAAATCTCAAAACCTTTAGTTTGGCTTTGACAATAAGTTCTGAAAATGTAATTGGTAACAAAAAATTATGGCTGGGCTGGAAAACTGAAGGGGAAAATAAGGAAGTTAGCGTTTTAGTCTTTCTAAAAATCTTTTATATCACGCCACTTTTACAAGCATTAAATTTGTTTCATGATGAAGTTTCGCTCCTCTCGAATAACGGTTGATAATTTAATGCCACGAATTGGCATTTCAAGCAATAAGTCCGGGCTTCGGGAGTGGAAACTTCTCGACCAATTTCAAGAAAACTTTCACTATACTATGACATAAGAGTTTAATAATTGCGGGGATTTTCATAAATGTCGTTTTATCATTTAGAGATATATAATAGTAAATAATCAGTCCTGTAACTATCACTTATATGCCGATGACTCCCAAATATACATATCCTTCCACCCTTCCGATCTTCACTCGGCCACTCTCAAGATCCAAAAAGACCTAAACTCCATCAACGAATGGGCCCATAAAAATTCCCTAGTTCTCAATCCGTCCAAATCCACCGCCATGGGTCCAGGCAACTCCTCAATTCCCTCCCCAGCATCCCACCTCTCATGCTAAATAACCATCCCATCCCCTTCTGCTCTTCGGTTAAAAACCTAGGAGTAGTCTTTGACCAAAACCTTTCCTGGCATTCTCACATTTCCCAAATTTCCCGCCATTCCATTGCCTCCCTCAGCCTGTTTCTTCGGTCCTGGCTTCTCTTACCTTTCTCCACCCGCAAACTCCTTGTATCTTCCCTTCTTCGATTATAGCTATTTGGCATACAGGGGTTGTATTCCCAACTTTCCTGGCTATTCCCCTCCTTCCATGTTATTATTGCTAGTATTTCCTAGGTTGCTTTCTTTTCCAGTCCATCCACACTCGTCGTCCACCTTACATCATCCAATCCCTCCAATTCAACTCCTCACATCTTACTCGTAAGACCCGCTCATTCCCAATCGACCTTATCCTTCCGCAACATACAACCCATACCTTCGAAAGATCATATCTGATCCGAGCCCCTAAACTCTGGAACTCCATTCCCCTTTTTATTCGTCACGCTGCCTCCTTTTCCTCCTTTAAATCCCACCTGTATAATCACCTCCTCTCCCTCCAAGCAGAGACCTCACGTTAACATTTGTTATTTTTGTTTAATATTCCCGTAATTTTTTTTCTTCTGTCCTGCCTTATTGGTACACATTGTGCCAAGATTTCTATCTTTTTTTTACTTCATAGAAGGAACTTCCTTTATTTATTTCATGTATATTATTCTTAGGTCCCAGAATAAAGTTCTTCTTCTTCTAAATATGTTCGCGACGGACGTTCACTTATATGGACAAATAATTCTTTGATGGTTTCAAGGCACATGTTTTCGATTTCATGAAACTAATTTTAACACAATGAAGAAGACAGGTTATTCCTCTAGTAAATAATTCTGTCAAGAAACATTGTATGATCTAACAATATACATTTCCCAAAGTGCCGATAGACTTACGTAAACCCCAAAGTAAATGAAATTACCGTAAAAAAAAAAAAAAATACACCTTTTAGATTATGGTACGAGTACGTGTATTCCCAGTATGATTTACATGAGGGCGAGTCCCCTCTCTTTTTAATATCGTATTTAAAGCCCCTCCTGAATCAATCCTATTTTCCTTTAACCGAAGCAATAAGAACAGTCGGGGCAAAGATTCTTCAGAAGGGTGACAGGGCCAATCTCGTCGTGCACTAAGATTGATCCTATTCAGCTAGAGGCAAATGAAGTCAATATTGTCCACTAACGACTTGGCCTAGGGAAATTCTCCGCCGGAGATAAACCCGGCCCAAATCAAAACCAGCCTTTTCTTATCGGCCCCGTCTCAAAACATATTCGTTACAAATTGGTTTCCCTTGCCATGAGATTGGTTGTATCGGAAAATAGGTTGTTTTGCCCTTCATTATTTGCAGTTCTACTTTCAATGGATGATCATAAAATAAATTACTGCTAGAAAAAAAGGACTTATTTGCTGCTACCAAGTAATTATAATAACGTATTAAATACATCAATTCCAAGAACTATGCATAATAATTAATCTCTTGAAAAACGTCTGCACATAATCAAACGAATAAAGCCTTAGTTCGATAAATAGAGCAAAAACATGAGAAAATTTGTGTAAAATGAACACATGTACATAGTATTTTACGAAAGATCTTCTAGCAGGGTAAGCAATGGGTTTTCTCGCTCAATCCTAATACTGTAGGACAAAGGTTAGTGCATTAAATTCTCATCATCAGAGTGTGCAAGTAACAGATTTTAGACAGTGACTTGCAAATCCCCCGCCATCGTGACCTCCCACCGAACAATTTGTTTTCAGCGTACAAAAAAGATAATTGGGTTGATTTTACGCTTAGCTTATATTAACTTTTGAAAAAAAGAACTCTTTTTACAAAACAAAAAAAAAAAAAACAAAAAAAAAACAAAAAAAAATATCATCCAGTCTATTTTATTTTTAAGACTGACGAAGGACGTACTAGCTACCATAAAACACCAATATCATGCACTTATTGTATCTATATACCTCCCAGAGTGGAAATTATTGCTTTTTTCAAATGTTATAGTCAGGTGATCTCGATCACAGCTGTTATTATGATTGTTGCAGATTTGACCATTTAATAAAACTTATGTTTATAATAAACGGTCAAATTCGCTCCCTGTGCAAATAGGCACAATATAAAGCCCCTGTATTTTGAATCTAAAACTGAAAGGACCATCTTGTTGTTACAAAAAGCATAACACCCTCACGCGCCTTCCGTCAGGAATAAATCATAAATGGTCGGTCCTATCATAATTTTCCTTCCAGCAAAAGTAGCAGAAAATAAGCTCTGACATAAAATTGTACATTAAAAATAGGGAATTTTCATATAAAGTAACCAAATTAGTCATTTTCCAGATAGATTAGAAAGTGTTTGTTCAAGTGAATGTTAAATCTGTTACCACCACGCGATTCCTATCCAAAATTAAATCGGGTTTTGTATAAGACCATTTTTGCTGAAG